CCCCCCTTACTTTTGAAAGAAACCGCTGCTCTAGCTGCTTGTAGAAAATTAAAATTTTCAATGGGCCGTTTTTTGTCAAGGAAGTACGAAAGGTAGACATTTGCTCGGGAGCAAATGCAGCAAATGGCTTCACCACATCCCCCGTACCGAAAATGGATCAGTATATACAGCCCTGTCCAATACTTACTTAATTATTAAAACATGCGTCCACTCTTTAAGAATGAATTCTTCTAGTTACCCCACATTATGTTAAGATCCAATTAAAACACTTCCACACACACACACAATCACGTTTTCAGAATCACCAGAATCAAAGCTTTTGTCTTCATTCTCCCAACTGCAGGACTGATGAATGCATGCATTCGCGGCATCATATTGAGACCCAGCTATATCTGCATCTGAACCTTGCAAGTATGTTGAAAAATCAGGGCCAGCGTGGCATCCCAGACCGTGAAGGAAAAGGAGGTACACATTTTTTTTGTAAAAAAAAAAAACGCCTAGAGTAATGTTTGAAAAAATATCGTCATAGGTAGGTAATTTGTTATCTTTGTGGAAGTGATTATGCATAAATAAAGTTTAGATACAAAAATATATAAAGAGGCACATTAAACCCTAGATTTATATACGAAGAAAATCAAATTGTCTATGGTACTCTGATGTAGGTATTAATCTTCAATATAATGTATTATATTGTAGTTGTTTTTTTTATTTCTGTATCTGTATAAAAATATGTAGATGATGGGAAATAAGTTTTGATAATAGAATTATGTAAATTATGTAGAAGTACATTATCGTAAGCATTAACTTAGAAAAACCTAAAAAATCTTTATATTATAATGAGAAAATAAAGTTGGCGAAGTATTGGTGTTGTTGAACTCTTACCAAATATGCCCCCCCCCACACACAAAAAAAAACATTTGATTACCACTGGTAAGCAATATATATAATGAAATAGAAGTAATTAAAACTTTCATTGTATTTCTGTTACTAATTCCAGAAAGGTCTTCCACGGTTAAATTGATTTTTACCCCCTTTTCAGAACCGAGAGTATTTGTGATCCATGCAGGAGAAGATAAGGATTCATTTGTCCGTCCACTGGTCAGCAGCCTTCAGGAGAAAGGGTTGCAGGAAAAAGACATCTTTTTCGATGAGGTTGCCATAAAGCCAGGTGACATCATCAGGGACAGAATAATGTCCACCTTATCAAGTGAAAGTTTAGAGCTGGCTGTCATTGTGGTCAGCGCATCATTCCTTAACAAGTCCTACTGGCCAAGGCTAGAGTATGAAACGTGTCTGAAAAACAACAAGCACATATTCCCCATTTGGGTCGATGCTAACGAAGATAACTTTAAGGCGTTTAGTGAGTCTGTCGGAAAGTACTCCCCTACATTGAAACAGATGAGTGGCAGGTGTGTACAGAGACAAGAGGTCGCTAATGAGCTGCCAAACATCGCCGCTGAGATCGTACAACGGCTCTCGGCACTGAGACAAGGACATCACGCCACTCAGCCTCCAGGTTTGTGACAGCTGTAGACATGATACTATTGTATATTTATATGGTGTGGTCTATTATATACACGCACACAAACACACACCCATTGTGCATTGACTACGGTTACTGTCATACACATTCACATATACATACATGATTTTGTTATACGCATATAAGTACACATAAGTATACACATAGTCACGAATGCATAAATAGACACGTCCAAAAAAAAAACGCGCGTACACATAAACACACAGTCACACAACAAACATACATACACACATGCAAAAACACATAAAATACACATACATATAAACAAACACACATGCAAAAACATACAAAGAAACACATTTGAAACAGTGTAAGCACACAGACACATGCACAAACGCACCTGTAGACATTGCTGGAAGTGTATGGATTTTGCTGACGTATACAGGAAGTCTAGATGGACATCTATCTTTAAAAAAACACACATTCAAAGTTCAAATGTGTCTACTAGACTGTGTGTTTAACTGATATTTATTTTGTGGTTATTTCAGCAATCCAAATGCTTCTCTACCCGGGGCCTCCTTCGTCCTCAAGTGATTCCAGCGACTTAGAACAAGGCACTGGCCGTGTAGAAGAGAATGTCTGTGGCGCAGGGAACAGTGAAGAACAGTCGGTAGAGAAAACTCTGAAGAATGAGAAAGCAAAGGAGCTCGAATTGATTGAGCAATTTGGGCGAGTCCAGCTGCGATTGTTGAAGGAAGCAGAAGGCCTACTCTCGGTAGAAACTATCGCAGAAAGGACAGGAAAATTATTAGACGACCTTTATCAGAAAAGTTTGCGCGTCCTTGAGGTTAAGATGGGCTGCGTCATTGTTTATCTAGCCCCAAGCAATCTGTCCACCTTAGAAAGGTTTTGGAGAGACTATAAGTCAGGGCGACTTAGTCGTCAGTTCACTGACCGTCTTGTCTCTGACGAGATGCGCGCTGCTGCTGGCCAAAACTTGACGATGCGTGTTGTCATGCTGGAGAGACAGCACCGTCAGTGGACAGGATATTTCAACACACGAGGTGGGGTTTCTTGAAAGCTTTTTGTTCTTAATATAAATACTTAAAAATTATCGCTTGCGTTAGGAAACATTCTAACATATGCATGGAAACCAAAATCTATACACAGGCACTGTATGTGCAACCCATGTATACATGTCAATACATTGGGCACAGTATAACAAATGTCTGCCTCAATGTATTATTTTATACAATGGCTGTCAAATTTTTGTAACATTCAACAAGGTCGTGTCAACTATAGAATAGCAAAGACATTAGATGTATCGAAAAATATCCCTATGTTATCATTACATTCTCAGATATCATGCAGACGGGCCAGCAGCTTCCGAGCTCAACAATGACATCTGCAACTCTCCATGAGCAGCCCTCTGTGAGCCCTACCATCTCGGTAAGCATGGCAGAAACGTGTCTATCTTGCGGTACCGAGTAGTATTGCTGCATTACTGCTGCAATACTGTTGCAATACTGTTGCATTACTGTTGCATTACTGTTACTCTGCTATGCATTACTGTTGCAATGTGATTCAGCAGTGCTGTTGCATAACTGTTGCAATGATGTGGCATTACTATAATATCATTGCAATGCTAGTACATTAATGATGCAATGTTATGCATTACTGTTGCAATGATGTTGCATTACTGTTGCAGTGATGTTGCATTACTGTTGCAGTGATGTTGCATTACTGTTGCAGTGATGTTGCATTACTGTTGCAGTGATGTTGCATTGCTGTTGCAGTGATGTTGCATTACTGTTGCAGTGATGTTGCATTGCTGTTGCAATGATGTTGCATTACTGTTGCAATGATGTTGCATTACTGTTGCAATGTTCCTGCTCCATGAAGAAATCCTGCATCTGAACATTATGTGTGGTTTCTCCACAGAAAAGTACAAAGACCAAGTGGTCATATAATGAACCTCGGGTCGTGTACATTAAAAGGCACACGGACTTGTCCGATAAACAGGCAAAGGAAAAGAGAGTTGGGGCTCTAAGGGAACAAGTCGAGAGGGAACACAGAAAGGTAGAAGAAGTTGAGAAACGAAGACAGTTACTAGAACAAGAGGAGCAGAAGAAACACAAACACAAAGAGCAACTAAAAAAATTGCAACAGCAAGCACTCAGCGAGAGAGAAAAGCTGCTAAAATACCGTTTTGGTGACAAGCACGGTTCACGTTTCTTCGCGTGTACTGACGTAAGTGACATTCAGCAAAGTGACCACAGCTTACGGATTGGTGTCTTTGGGCCACCCGGGTCCGGTAAAGGCAGCTTCATCAACACCTGTGAGCGGGCTTTAAGGCTTACGACAGAGGGTAGGTCTCCTTACTTCAGCACTGGATGGAAACCAGTGTTTAAGCACGTTTGCTGTTGAAAAGTGTTCTTTTAGTCAACTGATAAAAAAGAACCCTGATGCATAATTTAAGCCATGCATGCTTATATCTCAATTTTATGCAGTGCAGGCCTTTAACATTTGCAGCATGTACGAGGAAAACAAGCTGCTATGTTCTAGATCAAAGACTGAATGAGAAAAGCCATGTTATGTACTTAAAGGAGTACTAACCTCCAGAAGGAAGTGCTATTTTCCGATACATCATGCTGCAATGAATACATAACTAGCCGACTTTTTACATAATTTCGCTTGTACGACTTGCACGGCGCATGTTTGTAAAGCGATATCAATATCAATTTTCCCCATGCTGAACCACAATCGATACATCCGGGAACTCTGGCTTACGCAATACTCGTACACTTGAAGTCAACATAAACATTTTTCGGCGAAAATGGTAGGAGACAAGCACACTAAAAAACTGATTATTGAGAAATTACTTGCTTTACTTTGCTTGACATGTGGCTTGAATACTATAATATCAGGATGTCTGGCAGTGGGCGCTAGTTTCATCCTGCGTGTTTTGATTTTCTCAACTTATTTGCATGTAAGTATTAATTGAACAGATAATTAGATTACGCCACTTATGGAAAGGATAAATAGATTACGCCGTTTTTTTCATCGTCATTATTTGCGGCATAAATGAGGGGCGATAAGGACACCAAGAAGGGCAATGGTTGGCATGATACCAAAGAACACAAAACGGTACGAAATTTTCTTATCGCCCCCGAAATGAAGTCTGTAACGTAACTTTTTGTTTAAAACATAGACACCAATGGGGTAGCGTGGTGTATTCTGGGATACTTTTGAGGGTATTTCGAGAGTTTGTCCTGGATTCGATGCGTTTTAAGACTTGCGCGCATAATGGGCATTTAATTGTATACTGTAAAATAATATGCATTTTTCACTTCCAAAAATAAATGCCTGTCGAATTATAGCACCTCCTTCTGGAGGTTAGTACTCCTTTAAGAAAAGCTAGCTCTTAGTGTACTGGAATACAAGTGTGTATTTCAATTCCCAATAACAAAAGGAAGACATCACCAAAACTATCTACTAGGTATACAAAGATAGTAGTATAAGTGGAATGCGTAAACACATAGATTAAAGGAAATAGGAATATATTGTTCTGTAGCGTCTCCTATTTTACATGTTGGCCCTTCTTTAACCACATTAGCCACATTTCTAACATTCTTTTTTCGTATTTTAATGACGATTGATGTGCCGGTTTGGACGAATTTCGGGATTATGATGATATATGAGGTGCGAAGAAAGTGTTGGATCACATAATTGGTTACCAACGTTTTAAATTGTTTGGCTGGTGAGGGATGCGCATGAAAGATCATCGGGATCGGAAAGAATGATTCACGCTTTTCAAGTATTGTTTAATAGTATTTTTTCCGGAAACGTCACTTTTGCAAATCGCAATCATGCATTAAGGACTACCCTAGGCCTTATGAAGCCTAGCTTACTAGAAGACTTGCCTGATATTTACCATTCTTTAAATAACGATTTGAAAAGCGCGAGGCACTTGATTTATGAGTATGGGTGAGTGAGTATCCAATTACTAAGTACAGAAGTACTCAAGGGTCCCAGCCACCATACTTTTATTGCTTTTTAAAACTTAAGATATGATCAATCGTAAGAAACTCACAGCACCGAGGGGGTTGGTCAAGATCGTCATGTCTACACTCATAGATGTTGTCTTCGTTGCCTCGGCAGTCTAAGTTGCACACTGCCATCCGCCCTGTGCCATACCGGTACCTGCTCTCCACTCGTCCGTTCGCAAACCCCAGCTGTCGGCAAACCACCTGGACAGACAAACGTTCAAACAATTATATATTAGTTTTCACCTTTAAGTAAGGTGATCCCTTTTGTAAGTTTTACGACTTTGTTTTCGACACACTCTAAGTGAATTTCAAATATACTAGCAGGTGTTAGTTCTCCATCGAATACAATACGAAGACAATGTTCGGAAATGCCGTAAGAATATATAGAATAGATCTTTTAAACGTCTTTAGATTTTTCTCCACTTCGAAAGCGCTACAAATCCTTGGAATATGAGTACAGAAAGTAAACCAAAGTAACACAGTACTATACATTCAGAATACATTCATATTGTTTGAAATGCATTTAAAACAGCAAATGTTGTTAAACAAAACTAGCTACGCTATTAGTGACTAAAAATGGACGTTACTACATATTAATTTTTCAATTCAATAAGAAAAAACACATTTTTATCCCTCAAACCACCGTAGTTTTTACCGCAGGGCGGAATGGAACCTTCTCTCGGCGGCTATGCGGGGCCTGCACAGGAGGCTAGGTAATGTGTTGCATAAATATAGCTTTTTGTGACTCTATTTTGTGATTTTTAAGTATGCATAGTTTCATAAGTCAATGAGGGCCAATTTACAAAATTGGGTGTAAATAATTTTTGCTCCTTATTTTAATTTATGCAAATGAAACAAGACGCCTATAGGCAGTCACGTCGATGACATTTGACCCGAAGTCCATAGGCAACTAGGTCTAGGGTCACCATTTTTTTTTTTAGTTTTCTGAGTCAACAAGTTCAGGTTATTCAAATGGCAGCAGAAAACTCAAGCAAACATATCTCCTCGAAGTAAACTTTACAACAAAAGACCCACATGTGTCAAAACACATGTTAGCAATGCTGAGGTCATATTTGAAACCACTGGACCTTTTTAGGATTACCCAATAAAAATGTTCCAATTTTAGTTTGAACGTGAATGAAGTTATAAGACATATATACTAAAAAAATGACATAAAAGGAATTTCGTTTTCAACAAGAAATATCAAAATGGCACATATTCATTTACTTACAGTTGCTTCTGAATTCCTCCACCGCTGCCCTGAACTTTGCAGGCAGAGAGAACCCCAGGTCCCGTTGCGTTTGACCTGAACACGTCCCTCAAACACGGTAGAACCCAGCAACCGGATGTCGTGGTCACGTGTCGCGTAGTTTGGTTGATCGTCGGGAGGGTTCCTCTTCCGGTCGAAGACAATTCTATCACTAGAGTTGCCTATCTGTTTATACAGAAAAAATTCATACTCGATTAACAGAACTCCAGAGTTCCAAGATTTTATACAATATCTAAATGCTATCAACGACGCCCTGAAGATGACTGTCTGTTGTATATCTACACAGAACGACTCAAACTTAATATGCAAAAATACCTTTGCCGTGCTCTGTCTGCGAGCTGAAATATATTGGCCAGGGCTTGGGAAGAGCGCCGAACGCCTTACGAGAAACGCCTTAACCCTACCTAGACCGGGGGGGGGGGCTAAAAGTGCCCGCGGCAAATTTGATGTCACCTAACGTCTGAACGGCTAGCCGTAAAACGACCAAACTTGGTGACTTTTCCTAGAATATTGTTGGCAACAAATCTTTATCATTGGAATAAGATAATAATTTTTTGTGTTGCCATGGC